CACGTGTCCTATTACTCTGCAACACGTGAGGAACACATAAACACGTCTTAGCTATTTATATAATCGACATGATATTCTGATATTTCATGTTATTTCATAAAAAAATTTACGAAATTAAAAAAAAACAAGATGATCTGTTTTCCAATCGCTGTCTCTGAAATGCTCAGATTAATTATTTAACTGCTTTCTTTATCTTTTTTGTTGCACTATTTCCTTCTCGTGAACCCTCGTTTTAATGAAAGATTTCTGGTACTTATTCTTATTTAAGAATTTTAAGACTCTCTTCAGTTTATAGTTTTGAAGATGTCATAAACCAATCAGAGAATTATATTAGCAATTAAGATATTACTTAAAACCGTTTTAAAATAAGAACGGACTATAAAAACCGCCCACAGAATCATATTAGCAAACTAAAATTTAATTTTTGTGATAAAATTTTTTTTTATTCATTTTTATAATTAGGGATTAGTCAATCATCGAGTACAAGTTTCGAAAATTCGAATCATTTAGACCTGCCATTTTATCTACAATTTTAAATTTGGTAATTTGTTAGATTTTGTTTTCAAAATAAAAAAAAACAGCGAAAATTGTCACTCTTTTTCAAGAAATGAGATATTTCTCCGATGGTGGAGGAAAATAAAGGAGCTGAAACCCGAAGGATGCGTGTGTGTGTGAAACTGAACTATGATTTCTCACGCAGTAGCTTAACCTGTCAGCACCAGAAACTATACATGTTACAAATACTAAAACAACTTATAAATAAAACAGAACCGACGTATCTGACTTGAAAAAATACAATTCCCTTTTCCTAAACTTAATATAGAGAAGACTGTTTCAATGATACGTTGTTTTAAATACATCTCTTGTACATTTGTAAAACATAAAATATGTTTAGGAAATGTATATACGATATATGAAACATCCCATGTGGAGATTTGCCAGTTATTGTGCACGTTGTTGCGAAGTTAGCCCCGGCCTAACAATTCATCCCCTCAAACAAGACAAGGTTAGGTCAAGTAAACCGCATCTTCAAAAAGAATAGACTTCAGGTTAAGTTTGTTTTTTGAGAGACTGTAGATTTATCTTTTTAATCCTTATCTGTCTTCCGACTAAATCTCAGTGAGCACTGAGTGTCGCATCACAAATTTATTATTTAGGAGTTATATAATAATTGGATAAATAATTGAACATTTTGAACCGCCTTGAGTAAACCATTTTAAAGTTTAAAATATTTTTTGATCTTTCTAATTACTAATTTTAACATTTTTATTTGAGATTCAGATTCAGATTCATTTATAATATTACTAAATATGAATAATTACAAAAAAATCGGAAGGAATATAATACTTTCATTTTTTAGTAGGTGTTACATAAATATAACATCGTGCTTCAAAGGGTTATTTTAAAACGATTTTAAAATAAGAATCAATTATGAATACTGGCGATTAAATAAACTTCGAATTATATTATTTTTTGCATGGCAACTTTTTTCGCTTAATAAATTATCCTCATGAAATTCCTAAGGAATTACAGAGAGAAAAGGAACCGCTATTTTTTATCAGACTAAAAACACGTGCAAATTCTATACCGATCATATGAGTTCAGATATCATTTATGCGAATATGGATTCCGTTATTTAGATAGGCTACTAAAGAATAAATATGTTCATATAGGGATCAAAATACGTTTTACCGTTTGGTATATGCATAAAAATTTATCCTCAACTCACCAATGCGATAAACATTACATCGAATCATTAAAAAATTCGGTATTATGTATCCGTCAAATTAAAATTTCAAATCTTATTAATTGTATATTAATTGTATATTTATATTAATTGTATATTAATTGTATATTTATCTGCTATTAATTGTAATTATCAGAATATTGTATTCGCACTGCAATTTATAATACCTGCAACGAGTGCACGTGTCTATACAGTACGTTCTACCGATACGTTAAATAAATCCTTGTGACAGATTAATTAGACTTTGAACTTTAAGTACTAGTGAACACACACGAACGAGTGCCGCTATCAGTAACAGGTATAGAAGCAGGTCGATGATCTGAAATGCAGGTTTATCATATAACAGCTCACGCCCGAATCGGAGTACTGTTGAGGAAAAACTCATATTGGGAAACATCAATGCAAGCATCAATCGTATCGATTACTTTTCAGACTAAAAAAAAATAAATGTCTTCTTCTATCCTCCTTATAGGAATAATACGTAGATACGGTTGAATTATATATAGAGAAAAAATTTAGAAATTTGAACAATATATAAATTCAGTATTAAATGATTAATTCGATTAAATAATTAATTTATTGAAATATCCTACAGATATATAAATATTAAAAAATTGTTAATTATACCATGAAACGTTGACAAATTATTTCAATAATTCATGAATTAAATATATATTTATGTTATATATAAATATTACCTTAATATATGCTATGGTTTTACTTTGTTCAAAAAATTGTATAGCACATTTTTTATATTATAAATTAAAATCAAAATATGTTATAACTAAAAAAAATCCTAATAAGCTTGAGCACTTTATATACTTATTTTAATGGTTCACAACAAAATTATTTTTAGATCTAGATCCAACTAAATTTAGATACTTCAGCAAAATCGTTCTTTCCTTGTAATTAGTAACTAATTACTGTGAAATATTAATTGTTAATAGTTTTATAATACTTCGTTAGCGATAACAAATTATTGGCTGTTTAAGAAAGCTGTGAGATCTCGCCGCCACGAATGGTTTGCGTAATTACGGACTTCATTAAGTTTACGAATATAGACGCGCAGAATGAGTGCGTTTGCGATTGAGTTGAGATTAATTAAGTTTACACGTACCGGCCGTTGTGAATTACGATTGTCCGAAATCTCGACTGCGACGCATCTGACCAAATGACCCCGAAGATTTGATAAGAGCGCAACGTGTCGATGCAAAGTCATCGATCGACACAATTCGCGAATTATGATGCAAGCGGTCGATTATGAGACTGCCCGTTATTTCTTCGCGGGGCACGCATTGCGAAGTGTGATCTGCGCATGCTGGTCAGTCAAAATATATTCACGTCAGCGTATCCATGAGCGAAGTAATATTTTCAATCGCAATAAATTGCTTGTGATGACGCCTGTCACTTATTTACCATCATTGTTGAATATGCGTTTTATCGTGAGCCGATTCTTCACTTTCGCTTCTAACTCGATTCAAATATAGCAAATATTAAGGTAATATTTATATGTAATGTATTTAATATATATATTTAATTCATCGATTACGGTAATAATTTGTCAACATTTCACGGTATAATTAACAATATATTAACATAATTTTAAATAATGTTCCATGCAAAACAAATAGTTATATTAATTGGTATTGCTTCAGATTATTTAAATTGTTGGCTACACTAATAAAATAAGATAAATCAATAATTTACTACTAAACTTGTAATTGAAAAATTTCTTTTATCTTTGTTCCAAAAATTGCGTATCTATCGATATTTTCTAAATTAAATATATACTTTATATAAACTAATTTTTTAAATTAAATTAAGAACAAACTGTGTTATAGGTTAAATGATTATTATTTACGTATTTAATATAAAGATTTATGTATAGGATAGTAAAATATTTTTTAATTTCTAAGTCAGTTTTCTTTATTTTAGTTTACTTATATAAAACAAGATAAAGTATCACAATGTCTTTAATTGCAATGCTATCTATAAAAAAATAGAGATTTTATAAAAATATCTGTATCTACTTATCATTATGTGGTGATGTTTAAATTATCTATATTTTATAAAAAATTTATATGTTTATCATTATTCAACAAAAGTTTAATAATAACGCACGTTATATATTTTATAATTATTATTATTAGTTATTTTATGCAGCTACTATCTTGCATGCGATTTGAATAAATTATTAAATAAATTTTAACTTAATTATTAAATGTTCAAGTAGTATTGTGTATTAACAATGTGTTTCTATTCAATACATGCGATACTAATACATCTGACCATGCTTAAATAAATGATTTTTATATACCTACGATGTTCTTCAAATGAAACGATGCATCGTTGAGACGCAACATGTTACGTTGTGTTGAACGTCTACGGTGAATGAAGTCGCCACCGGCTCGTTGGTTGAGCCGGTATCTCCCACCAACCAGTAGTATTTGCGGGGGGGCCGCTTTTGCGGTCCCCACCATTGCTTAAGTCCTCCGATTCTTTAGCCTACGGACGAGGCCCAAGTTTCTCGGGGTCCGCCTTCAAAACCCCAGACGGAAATGCTCATCACTCCGTAAATGTAGGCGCCCCACCTGATTCGACCCCACCGCCGACAGTATTCTTCTCTCTCTTTCTTTCTCTCTCTCTCTCTCTCTCTGTCTCTCTCTCTCTCTCTCTCTCTCTGTCATTTGGTTACCCCTCCAAGGGACTTGTAGAGTTGTACAGTTGGGGGGCCGCAGCACACATGAGTCACTATATAAACAGGCAAGGACAAGAAGTGAGTATGAGTTCAATCCTTCCGTAGCTCGTTCGACGTTGTGAGCAACGAATTCGGCTGGGGCGGTGACCGACTTTTTTCCCTCTCTTTTTTCTTCTCCTTCTCTTCTAAGTTCCTTCCTCTTATTTTCCTTTTTTCCCTTCCTTTTGCCTTGAAACTATTCATTGTCATCAATTTTGAAACCCCCACTTTCCTAGGATTGCATGGGGAGGAGTTCCTCTCATAGTTTATCCTTCTTTTCTTGCCGAGACATCGCTTATTTATTTACGACTGCAGTAGTCGCGACTTATTAGACATAAAGACGCAGAGTCGAATGGACATAATATATTCGAGCAAACGGAACTCTGTTCTTTTTTTTGTATCAAGAAGCTAAGAAAGCGAAAGAGAAAAGTTAACAAATATAAAGACTTCGTATATATATATATATATATATATATATACACACATACATATATATATATCAGTGATAACCACGACGACAGACATTCGAAGATATTAACAAGCGTTTCGATATTACGGATCTTTAATCAATCGGTGATTCGTGATCCGTACAAGATGCTGGTACAACAATTCGGACGATGGCTTTGGCATATAATGGGCGGCAGTGCGACTCAAATCTTTTGCTCTTTTCTGATATTCGTCAGTGTTGCACTGGTGACCTATTTGCTATATGACTATTTCATGAGATATACGTTACCTCCTGGTCCATGGGGACTGCCGTTTTGTGGCTACATACCCTTCATCAAAGGACATGTATATCTGCATTTCAATGAGCTAGCCAAGAAATACGGTAAAATATTCAGCATTAACATCGGCTCCGAGTTGACCGTCATCATCAGCGATTATCTCATCATACGCGATGCATTCCGACGTGAGGAGTTCACCGACAGACCACATAACGACTTCATGAACATCATCGATGGATACGGTAAGTGTCAGGCACAGCAAATTTTGATAATACATTTTATCTCACGACTTTAGCTCTCGTATCATCGAGACGGGTTAAAGCACTCTGCCGACTTGCTCGTCTTTCGCGCGATTTCAAACGTTTCATTGGTTTTATCGGGAGTTCTTCTCTCGTACCGCGCGTTCGATTATTCTCAATGCCGACTGACATTGAAACTTTCTTTTTTCAGTACGTCTGTTGCGCGAAATAATTAGCGAAAATAATTAAGATACAATTTTGGAGAAAACTTCACGAGTGATTTCTTTTCCGCGATTGTTTCCGTGATCACGCGAATACATACATAAGTGATGGCACATGAAGGATGCGCAGTAGTCAATTTGTTTAACTAATTGAATGCTAGCATTTGATTGGCTGACCATGATTGTTTCTATATTTTCTGAATTATCGTTTACGATCGATCAGGATTGCGGATTTCCATAGTTGCTCCCCGGTTAATGCTAATTTCTGTTTCGACGTGTTACAATCAATCGTTTGTGGCAGATTAATACCGTGAAAAGGAAACGATTCCGCGAAAAACACGCCGCATATATGAGTTCTCGCGTTTCAGTATCGCTTTCATTGATGTTGCAGGTATCGCTAATACGGATGGTCCTCTGTGGAAAGATCAGAGGAGATTTCTTCATGATAATCTTAAAAAGTTCGGTATGAATTCCCATAACACCAAAAATATGGAATCGAAGATCATGGTGAGTATTAAAATCAGATTAATAAGTTTATAATCTTATTGATTTATCTTATATACATAAGGAATATTATAAAATTTTAAAATAAATATTGAAGCGTCTCACGATATTTTTAAAATATATCATTTATAATTTAACAACATAATATAAATATATAAAATTATAAATAAATACGTAAATATATAAATATATTAAAATATACATTTTTCTGTAATTCTCCATTCAAATAAATATATATAAACAACAAATATTCTACATCAAAGAAAATATATAAAAATATTTTGCTCCCAAAATTTTTCAAAAAATTTAATACAAATTTTTGTAAAATAAACAATCATATTTTAATACAAACAATAATATTTTAATCTAGTACGAAGTCGAGATATTGCTTAAGAGATTGATAATGAGACGTGGAGCGCCCACAAACCTAACGTCCTCTCTCGCTGTATCGATCAGTAATGTAATCTGCTCGATTGCAATGGGAATACGTTTCTCCCATGGCGACCCGAAATTCGAGAGATTTATGGACCTAATTAACGAAGGATTCAGACTGTTTGGTAAAGTGACGTTAGCGAATCATATACCAATATTGCGTCACTGTCCATGGATTAATAGCATCAAACATAAAATCGAAAAAAATCGAGCGGAAATGGCTGAATACTTTCAAGAAGTTATTAATAAGCGTAAAACAACGTATGACAAGAATAACATTAATGATATTCTCGATACCTATCTGTTCGAAATTCAGAAAGCTAAGGAAGAAAATCGAGAAGATCAGCTTTTTGAGGGAAAAGATAACTGTGAGTAGAAATCAATTTTTTTCAAATATTATGCTAGTTTTCTCTCTGTACAAACAATATTAATAACGTTATATTTGTATAATTTAACGATTTATATATAACGCAAAAACTTTTTTGAATGATTGAGCTCTTTTCTTTACAACAGTTCGTCAAATGCAACAAATTCTGGGTGATCTCTTCTCCGCGGGTATGGAAACGGTGAAGAATTCTTTGGAATGGTCGATGATTTTCATGTTGCATTATCCAGAAGCAGCAAAGGCAGTACAGAATGAATTGGATCAAGTCGTAGGAAGATCAAGATTACCCTCATTAGAGGATCGTCCATTTGAGGCGACCATTCTAGAAGTTCTTCGCAGAGCCAATCTTGTACCACTTGGCACTACGCACGCTACTACACGGTAAATTAATTTTTGATTTATTGCTCTCATATTGCTCTTATATTGCTCTTGCATCCTCTTCATCCATTTCTTCGCGTCATATGACCGGCCCTTTCCCTTTCTTTCTGAGCTAAGAGCGGGTTTCACAACCGTCCTCGCCTTCTTCCTCGGCGCCTTTCCGTGTCGGGCATATCAGAACCTCGCGCGCGTGCACAGTCGTTTTGGACGATAATATTCGGCGAGCAAAAGTGAAAGCAAAAGGTGCCTGGCCCCTCGTCTGCTTTTCGGTCGGACAGCCCCGCCTTTGATTCGAGGCGTTTAAGGTCAATGATCTTAAAACTGTTTCTCTTACAAAGAGCCTATTGGAGCCGGAGCAGGTGAATCGGACTCGATACATGAAGAATACTTATTGGCAATGATCGTTCACGAAAGCAATGGTCGCCATTAGAAACAGCGGGGGCGACACGGTTTCACTTCTTCGCGAAGAACGTGGTCAGAAAGAGCGTGACGAACGCATGTGTGTGCGTGTAAAAAGCCAAGTTGATTTCATCAGTTGGTTAATATCTCGTGTAGTTGATGACTGTTAAAATATATGATTATCAAGTATTAAATACAACAATTAAATTTTGCGTAAAATATGTTATGCTTCCTCTTTTAGAAAATTACTAATAAAGTTGAAAATTATTATCGATTATTTTTAATCAATTAATTTTCACCATTAGTTGAAATCTTCTAAAAATATTATTACAGTTGGAAAAAATGCATTGAATTTAAAAGAAAATTGAAATTTTTAATAAAATATTAATGTAACTTTTATATTAAGGCTGCTTTCTTTTGCACGTATAACATATCATCGCATTTTGCCGCGCGTTTCCACATCTAGTATGTAGAAGCCATAACACGTTATCATGCCGAAACGTGTAGTTCATTCTCACTCTTGTTATAGAAAATCAGCACTTTTATTTTGTAACTCTTATTTTAATACATTTCATAAATATGTGCAAATTATGTTGCCTTAATATATTTTTAAATCATTTTAATAATTTACATTTTATATTTACTAAGCTCGTTTAATATAAGAGATATATTTTAAATTGACATGTATATGTGTTCATTACTTTACACCAAAAATTTTAACCCATAGATTTTTTCACAAAAATACATAAATTTATCAACAGTGTAATTATTGTTGCAGGGATGTGATGTTAAATGACTATATGATACCAGCTGGTACCAGCGTGATACCGTTGTTGTATGCAGTGCATATGGATCCTGAGCTCTGGGACGAACCAGAAGTCTTCCGGCCCAGCCGTTTTCTCTCTGCTGACGGTAAATTGTCACAGCCGCATTTCTTTATGCCCTTTGGAGTTGGTAGACGAAGGTGCCTGGGTGAGGTGTTGGCCCGCATGGAAGTCTTCCTATTCTTCAGTTCGCTAATGCACATGTTTAACTTGAGCCTACCTGAAGGTGCCTCATTACCCAGCCTGGAAGGCAACGTTGGTGTAACAGTATCACCGAAATACTTTGAAGTTTGCTTGCTGCAGAGAGATTTGCTTTTACCAGACTGCGAGAACAACGAGGTCTTTGTCAATGGACCCTTGCGTAACGTTGGCAGCCACTAAGTCCTCGACGAACTTTAAAGCACGGTACTTGTTCCTATTGCCACAGGAGAGGCAAATAGGCAGAGAAGAATCTGCAAGTCGCATGCTGACGCTATGGGGTCCATCCACTACACAAGCTGGAGATCCGTAAGATTATTTAATTGTACATTAAGTATAAGAAAATGATAAATGGTTGCGTTTCGTCAAAATCTTTATGTAAAATGAAATATTTGCGAAAAATTTTGACATCATCCTACTTTAAAAAATTTGTAGATTTTTTCGTGAATTTAAAAATGAGCGACTTTTAGTTTTTAGAGATTTTAAGTTTACAAAAAAAAGCTTGTTTTAATTCTTAGAAATTAGAAATTCTTTCAAGACGTAATCGATCGTTTTCTATCATCTAAAATACAATTTAATGAATATAATTTGATATTAATGATTCATCAAAAAAAAAAAAAAAATTGATAGTTTGATCCTACTTTAAAAAAAAAAATTTGATTTTTTCGTAAATTTAAAAATGAGCGATTTTTAATTTAGAGATTTTAAGTTTAGAAAAAAAATTTGTTCTAAAATCCTTAGAAATTAGAAATTCTTTCAAAACGTAATCGATCGTTTTCTGTCATCTAAAATACAATTTAATGAATATAATTGAAATTAATAATTCTTCAAAAAAAAAAAAATTGATAGTTTGATATTACCCTACTATAAAAAATTTGATTTTTTCGTAAATTTAAAAATGAGCGGTTTTTAGTTTAGAGATTTTAAGTTTAGAAAAAAAGTTTGTTCTAATCCTTAGAAATTAGAAATTCTTTCAAAACGTAATCGATCGTTTTCTGTCATCTAAAATCCAATTTAATGAATATAATTTGATATTAATGATTCATAAAAAAAAAAAAAAAATTGATAATTTGATATCATCTTACTTTAAAAAATTTGTAGATTTTTTCGTAAATTTAAAAATGAGCGGTTTTTAGTTTAGAGATTTTAAGTTTAGAAAAAAAGTTTGTTCTAATCCTTAGAAATTAGAAATTCTTTCAAGACATAATCGATCGTTTTCTGTCATCTAAAATCCAATTTAATGAATATAATTTGATATTAATGATTCATAAAAAAAAAAAAAAAATTGATAGTTTGATATTACCCTACTATAAAAAATTTGATTTTTTCGTAAATTTAAAAATGAGCGATTTTTAATTTAGAGATTTTAAGTTTAGAAAAAAAATTTGTTCTAAAATCCTTAGAAATTAGAAATTCTTTCAAAACGTAATCGATCGTTTTCTGTCATCTAAAATCCAATTTAATGAATATAATTTGATATTAATGATTCATCAAAAAAAAAAAAAAAAAAATTGATAGTTTGATATTACCCTACTATAAAAAATTTGATTTTTTCGTAAATTTAAAAATGAGCGATTTTTAATTTAGAGATTTTAAGTTTAGAAAAAAAGTTTGTTCTAATCCTTAGAAATTAGAAATTCTTTCAAAACGTAATCGATCGTTTTCTGCCATCTAAAATACAATTTAATGAATATAATTTGAAATTAATAATTCTTCAAAAAAAAAAAAATTGATAATTTGATATCATCTTACTTTAAAAAATTTGTAGATTTTTTCGTAAATTTAAAAATGAGCGATTTTTAGTTTAGAGATTTTAAGTTTAGAAAAAAAGTTTGTTTTAATCCTTAGAAATTAGAAATTCTTTCAAAACGTAATCGATCGTTTTCTGCCATCTAAAATACATTTAAAATACATCTAAATTTAATGAATATAATTTGAAATCAATGATTTAAAAAAAAAAAAGAATTGATAGTTTGTAAAAGTTATTGAATAATTCTACTAATGTAGAAGAATTATGTAAGTTAGGTATAAGCTAGGTTCTTGAGTGTGTATTCAATACTCGACATGCCTAATTAATCCGTTTAAGTCACTTTGGCATGGCGAGATTTCATGTAATTTTATTTTTTTTTTTTAGTACTATATCCATCATTTTATTATTAACAAAATATTATTAACAAACTTTTTACAGTTTCATTTTTTTATCTTCGATGACATCCAGATTTTAATAAATTTACAATCTTTTTTTATATTCCGAATTAATTCACAGGTATATGGAACTAAAAAATGAATTTGCAAAAATTTATATAAATATATAAATATTATTAAGTACCAAGATCCGCTTTGACTGAAAATAGGGGTCTTATATAATTTATTATTATTATTGGTCCAATTTCTATTTTTATAATTTTTTTTGTTTTTTATATATTTTTTAATTCGTGATGTTTCGCCATACCAAAATTTTTTTTACCACGCATGCGAGATTAAATAATGTCAGGCTGATCAAAAATTTGATCAAGAAAATAGTCAATCGTGTAGAAACGCGAGTATCATCGAACTGCTAATTGTGATACCGTTATCACAATCCCGTTAAAAATTTTAAGTAGTCATCTTATATTAGCGCCGAGACCATAATAGTAGATTAGTTTTTTGATGTAGAAGAAATTTTTTTAAAGATTAGTTAATTTACTTAATTTGTTAGAGTACAAAGGAGCTTATTTTACAACATTTTTCGCTACTTCCTCCTCCCCCTTACTCTCTCATTTCATACCAAATCATCATTTCACTCCAATTCTTCGATGATTCATAAGTATTTATTGCTCTGCAAATATTATTTTGTTCTTGTTCATCCTTACTCATCGCCTCGTATTTATTCGCGCTTAATCTAGATCGGCGAGATTGACAGACGAGATTTGTCCGATATATCTCGGACAAAATTTCGAAAATGATTTCGAACCTTATCGTTAATTCTAATTATTTTTTATACTAAATCGTGGCTCTCGACGGGATGTCTTACACACATGTTGAAAATTACATTCGCGATATTAACGATTTCAAATGCAATCGATTTCGTGCTTACGCCAATATGAATAACGCCAATCTTACTGTACTATACTAAATCGTGACTCTCACCAGAGTGTCTCGTCGAGAGCTTAACAACGTTAACGACATCAAACGCGATCAAATGGCACCGGTCGCTCTTCCGAACGCCGTTGATTCGTCATAGATCTCCGTGAACGAACGAGGATAGCAACTTATTATCCAAGGCTCCTCTTTCGTTCACAATAATAATAGTAATCCATTATCCATTAAGGAAGATAGTAAGCGAGAGAAAGAGAAAGAGAAAAAAATCAGTATATTTTTGTAAATAAATATGATAATTTTGATGATCGCTGAATGATTTTAATGTTAAATACAAAGCTGATTGACGAATCACGTGCCAATATCGCGTTGACTTTTCTAACGACTTTTCTAACAGTGCAACATAAGCCGCTTCGGTTTGATAAGTCAGTTGATCCACAAATCGTCCGGGCAGACCTAAGCCCGTGAGCAATTTTCGTGAAAGTTGTGAGATTCGTTTTGAGATTTTGTTGCGACATCTGCCATTCGACGATCGCGCAGCGCTGCGCAGTGCGGTGAACGTTTGGAAATGCTAGAATGAATATCGATCAGACCGATTAGATTTATTGCCACATAGCTCGGGTGCGCGGACTGAGGCTGTGAATCTAAGAGACCCGGGATGTACGGTCGATGAATCATTGTGACGTCGTCCAATCCGATTTCCCAAAGATATCTCAGGCTGTGCATCCTAAAATCGGCGAGGAGCCGCGTAACGGTTCCGATCTCGCTCCTAAGATTAGAAGTTCGAGTCCAAAATGTGTACCCTTATTCTTAAATTTAAGCGTACTCGACGACTGATGGACCCGCTTCCACGGGGTCGAATGCCGCGCGCGCAAAGCTCCCTCGCTTAAGTATCCGATAGAGCGTTAATTAGTCTTACGTTAGCATGCATGAATTACAGAATGCCGTATTGTGTTCACCTATCGACAGCGAAGAACGTTTGATGTTCTTTCTTCTTTCTTTTGTATACAATAAAAATGTTGTATAAGTGAAATGACCGTCTGATTTATTCATCCCTATCACAACAATATTTATCACTATTATCCCTATCGCTAAAAATATTGTTATTCTTATTTTTTTTTAATAAGTATTCATTTTAAAAAATTCAATCAGAATTGACATCCATTTCGAAAATTTTGAAAAGATTTCATAAGCAAATCTTGAAAAATTACAGCACAAGATAATAATCCTTTGAGTATATTCAAACTATTTCATTATTTGGCAACAAAATAACAGTATTTAAAATGCATAGAAATATCACTAAAGATTTCGGCTAGATATGTCAAGGAAACACACATTATCATTTATAACGACGAATCGAATGTTCATCAGCCAAATATTCCAAGAAATCGAATTCTTTATCGATCGCGAAAAACTTTATTGGAAACTGCAGTCTTGGAAACCGGATTCTTAAGGATGAGTAAAAAAAACTTGTGGTTCTTCAACTTGCATGCATCATCGGCCTTCGACTCTGATCGCGCGCTCATCCCTTCTTGCCACTATTCAATTTTTCGAGGACTTCTGCTTGGAGCCTACGAAAGAATATTGAGCTGGACCTAGCTTTCTCTTCCACTGATCCGTTCAGCCTCGCATTTGGTAAGACATTTTTCAATTCGTACAGTCATTCACGAATAGCTCCAATCTCTCTAATTACTTTACTTTAACTGGGTGCAGATTGAAAAGAAAGTCGTAAAAATTAATGGTTTATTATAGCTTAAGCGCAATTGTCAACTAGAATAATTAAATTGATATTTTCACATTTAAAATTTCAATAATTATTGGAATTTTTGAAAAAAATATTGTAATTTGAAGAATAAGAAAAATTTGGAAGTCTGTTAGATATATATATTAGATATATATAATAATCATTTACTGCTTCTCTCTGTCAATAATTCCGTGTATTGTCTCGTACGGTATGTAAGATTCATGTGGCATCGCAGAACGAGGGACGAACAGTTGGCGCGCGCTTACATAAGAGAAACTCGCGCGTTCTGGGTTTCTAACGAAATATCATTGCTGAGTACATTACGCCGGTAAGGTTAATGACACGAGAGTCAAGTGGCCCCAAACCGCGCACAAGTTACGTAAGGTCAGCTTACACCAGTACGTCCCAGGGACGGTGCATTGATAATAGCACATTTCCTGCAATATCGTACTATACGAAAATACATTGGTGTTCCAGGTGTGCAACCGCGATACGTGGCGCTTGCTGCCCCAGTAAGGGCCCTTTTACTTCGCGCTTCGGCATATAACTTCGTGGCCTTTTCTCGCCGAAGAGTCGGTCGAGTGCCAACTGGCCTGCCACAGTAAAGACAGAA